CTACACTGTAGTTCCTTATTCTCTCCCCTTTTGGAAACTGTGTGTACCTTCCACCTCCTCCTTCCCAAACTAGGATTTCTCATTCTCATTCCTATCTGAGGTGCTCTCTGTGCCTCACCATTCCACCTATGTCAGAGTCTCCCATGAAAAGGCTCTGTGTTCTTTCCTCACTCCAAGTTCCAAGAGTTCTGCTTGTTCCCCATTCACCATCTTTGACCAAACAATTCAAAATCTATTTTATATTAGTCTTAGAGAGAAGTCATTCAGGGCATTTAAAATCAAGTGTGAGGATAGGCAAAACTGTTATGGTGGGTGTTGTTATGGTGGAAGATGGTAAACAGAACATCAGTCTGGTCTTTGATATATAGAGCTCTGACTGAAGCTGCTGGGTTTGCTTACCAAATGACTTGGAATATCTTCCTTCTCCATTCTCCATACCCCTGGCTTCTGTGTCTCCTCATTTCTCTTTTTAGTTTTCTGACTTTCACCAAGGTCAAGAAGGTTCTGCCTATTGATGCCTAAAACATTTCCTTCAAACAGTGGGATTGATGAGATGCAGCATTTAAGTTATCGCATGACATTCAGACAAAGGAATACCATTATGTTGAGTGTATGGCCTTGCAAACTCAGTGAATAAAGTCGGTCTAGGGTAGAATCTGAAAGCATTCTATATTTTATGGACAAACAAAGGGATAAAACTAGTGAGATACATGATCATAGCCTGGTGCACATGTGCAAACTTAGAACTTTAAGAAAAGTTAAGGGAGGGAAAGTAGTTGTCACAGTACAGCAGTGTACTAGGTATTCATCAATAACTGATTCAAATTTGTCTTGGTTACAGGTAAAATGAAATCATTGGTATTTTACGTACTTTTCAAATAACACTGGTCTCTATGCAAAGAAATTCACAGTGCTGTGAACTGTGTTCTGAATCACTCAATAGTCAGAAGAGAATTTCCGGAATATTTTAGTCAAGACAGTCAAAACCAAGGCATATTTGCAGATTTATGCCATCAGTTCAGATAAGAAATTTTAATAAGTTTGTAAGTATTTTGTTGATTTTGGAGCCATGCATATGAAAGTTTATGCCCATATTACTGTAGGCCAAGCTAGCACTACCAGTTTCCTGGGCAAGTTTATCTTGCATGAACACAAATGCTGCTGCCGATTTAAGCTGCTGTTGACTCTGGCATCCCTAAGTGGACCCAATTTCCATTTAAATTAAAACTCCTTTTACTTGAACTACTTCATAATGTAAACACGACATATTTGTAAGTACAAATATGCATGTAAATTATGTTTCTATTTCGTTTAATGTCCCCTTTTACTCCAGACATGTGTAAAGCAGCCATTTCTTATTTTACGGGTATAAGGATTGGTGGGCTACTGGCAAGAAGCAAACAATATGTCTGCAGCCCGACCTTGTATTGATTCCATCAGTGGTTCTCAACCTATTTGCCACTGGGCCACATTTACAGCTCTCAATGTGTTATGTGGGCTGCACCCATACAATTTACTTCCTGTGTGTCATTTAACAGGATGTCACAAGGGCTGCAGCAGTGTGCAGATTGGGCTGCATGTGTCCCACAAGTTGAGAACTACTAGTTTACATTCTGAAAGCACTAGAAATACACTTATCCCAGTACTTGCCTGGGTAACCATGACAGCAGCATATAGATTCTCACCTATACCTATGCTTGGTAGAATTTGATTATTTATTTATTTATTTATTTATTTTGACAGCTAAAATCAATGCTTATTTTTAAGCATTTACTTTGATTTGATTAATTGAACTGTTCAGGACTGTGAAATTAGCAGGGGGGAGGGGTTATCAATTTAGCATGCATGCATGCACATCACTTGCTGCAGGAGCTGGTGTCCATTCCAGTAAGCCTGTGCTGGGAGGGGAGAGTTGCAGGGACAGGCCTGGTAGTGCCCTGGAGTCCAGTGCTGCTGGCCTCTTGCACTGCCCTGGACCCAGATGGAGCAGGGACCAAATTCCTGCAGAGCCTGGCACAGCCTCTGTGGGAGTTTGGCCCCTGCCTCTATTACATAGGGTCTTGCCTCGGCTCTGCAGGATTTTGGCCTCTGCCCCAGCTGGGACCTGGGTAGAGTGAGCAGCTGGCAGCACTGGGCTTATTGCTACTACCAGCTCTGCCCCTTCAACTCCCCCCACCTCCGCTCCTGTGGCACAACCTTACCAGCATAGCCCCCAGTTTCTGCACTAGCTGCTGCATGCGTGCATGCATGCACATGCACTACTCCCTGACCCAGATTTCTTTATTTCTGTTCTGAATTTATTTTTTATCTCCTTTTATGTACATTTCAGTGATTACCAATGGAAATATTTTTCTGTCAGTTTGAGAGTATCAGGTGAAATTGATGTTTATCAATGTTTGTCAATAAAACTTGAATCCTGGAAGCCTAGCAATACTGCCTGGCATAATTCAGAAAGGAGGAGGAGGAGTACAGCATACAGATTGGCAACAAGTCTTTCAAATTCTCCAGTTTTTCATCCACTCTGTATACCCATCTTTACGAGGTTAACTCAAATAAATATACTCTGGTGCATTTAAATTTCCATGTTTTAGTAAAACTTTGGAAACTGGACTAATTCACTTCTTCCATGGCCCTGGAGATGTCAATTAGTTAGGATTTATGTCCCTGTGAAAATTGCAGTTTTTGGAAAGGAAAATCTCTTGTCTCCTTATTTTATGGCTGTCTTCTGACAAAATTGCTTTTTTACAACTTACCTTAGAAACTTAACAAAGCTACACTTATTTATTATAGCACAACTATAATCTAGTACATTTGGTATCACCAATCACTACTATTAACATTTGTAAGCTACGTTATCTCAAGGCTTTCCTGCTTAACCTAGCTTATAAACTTTTCTATTTCCTTAACTTGGCAGGTTGCTTGATTAAAACATCCTGCTGATACAGCATTTGCAATACTGCAAGATTTACATTGTAGTTGCTTCGAATTTAAAAATGACTTCCGGCATACTGCTTGTCTGCAATTTTACAGCTTTACACAAGGCCTTAAGATAGCTAAGGCTAGCAACAGAACAAGGTCAATATGTTTTGACCCAAATCTAGCAATTCAGCATCAGGCATATGTGTATTGTGCTTTTTCCTTTTCCACAAACAAACTGAAAGATGCTTGTACAAGAGTGATTCCTATAATTTAATTTCAATTTATCAGTCTAGATAAGTGATTCTTAAACTGTGCTTCACCAATTACCTGCAAAGCCGTTTGGTTCATCTCCAAACAAAACCCTTTAAGAACCAAGCAATGGAATTACACAAAGTTGGGAGCCCGTTCAAGCAACTGTAAACCTACAGACTTTTTCAGAAGATCCATTTGGAGACTCAGTTGTCGATGTGTCCCAATGGATTGAGAATGCATTCCAAATTTATTGCATTTTTCTTTTGTTCCTCATTAAGATTTTAAGTAGACAAATAACAGAAGTCATTACTGATTATTTTAGTATCTTTATTTGTGTAAAAAGATAAGAATATACAAGGGGATTATACAACTGAATGAACCATGTCCCCTGTTCACAAAATTAGAATCTAAATTTATAAATAAATAAATTTAGGTGTTATAGATCATTAACTTTAGCAGCAACTGTAAGTTTTGCATTTAAGATGGTATATTTTAGCTTATTTTCTGCATATTGGTATATAGAACTTAGAGATGGTATACGTGAGCATATCTAGATGTACTTGTATGTATACCAGCTCTTTTTGAGTTCTTCATACAGAGACAACTGGTGAATCTGGATTATAAGTGGCAGAAGCAGAAAAAAGAAACAAAAAAGGACCAAGAAAGTACATAGCATTCTGTGTGTCCTTTAATGATTCTACTTTAGAATGTCAAATATAGCTTTTGGCAAGTCTTAAACACAAGTATTGATAATAGCTCCATTTTTCCCCTTCTTTTCAAACTATTTTTCCTCTCTAGCACAATAACAGTCACTGTATCTTCTGTCTTAATTATGTCTTGTTTACTAAAAAGCGTTCAGCATTTTAAATATCATGGAAGTGCTCAGAAATCACTGGGGCACAATGTAACACAGCTGAAAAAGAAAGTGTATAAAATATATGTTGATAACCATCGGAACCTTATGGACTACTACTTCAATATGTAGAGAAATAATGGATGAAAATATGAGGATTTTCTTTTTTACAAATGCTAGAAAAATACCTGGTTTTGTATTTTTTTTCTTTTTTCTTTTTTTTTTACTATCATTGCTTATCAGATTCATGCTTTTTGTTTACTTACAGTATGAAAGAGGCTGGTTTAGGCCATAAACAATGGAGGGGTGGTCCCATTTCATCAAACTGCAAGCAGTGTCCAGTAGTTTATACCAATCCTGTTTGTGGATCAGATGGTCACACATATTCTTCTCAGGTAAGAAAAAAAAAAAGAACTGAATTGTTCATTGTTCTCCAAACCTCCCCAAATATTCAGATATATAATAAAAGTATATATTTATTTTTATTTAAATAGATGCTTGATTTTTAAATGCCTGTCCCAGGCCAGTACCTACCAAATGAATCCAATGCATTGTAAGAAAAAAAGCATGCAATGGCAATAAATCTGCTGGAAGGAAAAAGTAATAGCTAGCAAAAATATATAATACTATAATATTCCCCTGTCTCAGACTCCGTCAAACATCCCACTCCCTCCCAGCTCAGCCCTTCAAGATACAGGTTTTGCATACCAAGAACATTGAAACTGAGTTTTTTAGACCTGCTCAGAGTGAACCCCTAGGCTCAGAGAGCACCTGTTCACAGTTCCCTCTGATAAACTTTCACTAGTTGGAATTGTGGCATAATTGTGTAGGACCAGAGACAGTCAAGCATTTAGATACGTCCCTGACCCTTTTAGAACAAAACCAGCATATTAAAATTCATCCACATGTGATAGGCAGCCATGGCAGAATTTGGAGCAAAGATGTTGTGGTTACATTTACAGGAAAATACTGCAAATAATAGGCAAGCTACTTTGTTCTGGACTAATTCTAAGTTTCCTAGTAGATTAAGGTGAAGCACATTGTAAGCAACCTTGAGATGACAAAGACCTCAACTGTTGTGGTGATATCTGTATTCAGAAGAAAATATTTAAACTCGGAAACCAGACATAAATAAAAGGAATTAACTAAATCCTCAAGTCATAAACCTTACTAACAAAAATGATGGACACCTCCCTTAAATTCATTTCATGCTTGTGCCTGTATAACCTTAGTCAAATTCTCTAATTGAATCTTGCAATTTAATACAGGTCTTAGTCTTTCCTGGCTCAATATTGAAAGACTTTGTTCTCATTCATTTCTAAACTTTAAAAAAGACTCTCGTCCTTACTACCCAAGCTAGAGGAAATGGTAACATAGAGCTTGCAGGAGTATTTACCACATGGAGTATTGGAGTGCCTTCCCCCCTCATCTACAGTTCTTATATACGTTGAAACAATGGGTTGGCAGCATTAAACTGAATAGTATTCCATTTCAAAAATTCTTAGCAGGAAATCATTGGCAAGCATTGTTCTGTGAGATAATACCAAGAAAAACAGATGATGCCAATTGAGGACAGTCTTGTCTGTTCTTGTCAGGTAAGAGCAGGCAAGACAATAATACCTGAAGCTTCACCATATAATATTGTCATAGACTCCTGCTGTTCATTTGACTACAGCAACATATGGTATGAGGAACATTCAGAAATGTTCTTCCCTTACACAGAGAAAAATACAATTTTATGTTTGACTATAGTCCCCCGATATCAGTATATTTGGTCCAACACAGCTGCAATTTGGCTATGCCCATATTGTAGAAGTCCTTGACCTGCATATCCAGAAACTACTACTCTGCTGCAATGACATCATTTTACTAGTGGTAAAATAAATAGAAGCCTGAAGGAGCCACACCTAGTGGACAGGCTGAATGGGGAAGCAGTTCAAAATCACATCTTGTCACTGGTGACTACAATGTGGGATGTGTGTATGTGGCAATATACTGTCCCAGAAAAGATTCAGTCTTCAACTCAGCTTTGCACGGTACTTGTTCTTCATAGCCTTTTACAGAACATAGTACTCCCTCTTGATGATGTTGCCTCTTTAGACAGAGTCAGTCACCATCAATTTCATTATCCCATAAGGAGATGTCATTTTTTACATTTCTTGGGAAGAGACAATTGCAAGGTAAAACTGCAAGATTCGGGCTAAAAATCAGTGGTGAGCTTGTGTCTCATCTTGAGTCACAGACCTGCCCATGAGCTTCTAGGTTTGCTTGAAACCATTTTAAAAGTTCCTTGTAAGCATCAAGGGTGTAGGAAAATACGTAGGAGAGACCAAACAACAACTGCGCACCAGAATGAACGCACACCGGAAATCTATCAAAGACAGAAATACCCAATTACCTGTGGGGGCACATTTCTCACAAGAAAACCACTCTCTCTCCAATCTCTCAGTCCTGATCCTCAAAGGAAACCTACAAAACACTTCCCAGAGATGAGCCTATGAACTCCACTTCATCAACCTCCTGGATACTAAAAATCATGGACTAAATATAGACGTTGGATTTATGACACATTATAACCTGCCTGACATCTGACTCCCCAGGTATCTCTCCACTTTCATCTCCCTTCTCTCCAGGTATCTCTCCACTTTCATCCCCCTTCTCTCTCTCTCTCTCTCTCTCTTTCTCCCCCCCCCCCCCCTCCTCTCCCCCCGCAGGTTATGATGTGTCATAAAGCCAATGTCCCCAGCCGCTGGCTTCTTTACTTTTCATTCCATCCAGGAAGAGCACACACCAACTGCTGAAACTTCCTTAGCCTGACGAAGGGTTTTTGAACCCGAAAGCTTGCTTAATAATTATTTTCCAACTATTTGAGTTGGTCTAATAAAAGATATCAGATTCACTCAAGGAACCTTGTCTGCCCTTGTAAGCATCAAGTCACTCTTCTTTCTTATCACACTGATAACAGATATCTGGTTTTCTGACACCTTTCTCAGGGCCACATATCTTTCCCCATTGTAGATGCCCATTGTCTTAGTTATGTGCCTGGCTTTTGATCTTGCATAATTTATGACCATCTTGTGGAAAGAATCAACTTGAAGTGGCTTCTCTGGGAACTTCTGACCTTCAATTGACCTCTGTGCTGATTCTCCCTCACTTAAATTCAGCTCAGTATTTTTTACTGTGGCATATGAAGAGGATATCATCCCCCAGCATTGTCATCATGTCTCTGAGTTTTCTCTAGGGGTCAGGCTTTTTTTTTTTTTTTTTTTTTTTTATGGAGACACTGATCACTGCTTTGATTTCATTCTCTTCCATTTTTCACATCATCAGTGACCGATTGATTTTTGATATATCTTCATCCAAGTTCCATGTAGACTTAAAAAAAAAAAACCTCTGCTAAAAGGAAGTACATTGCCATATAAGTATTTGGATCTGTGAAATCCATGGGGCCATAATATATCTTTAAATAGGTCAAGCTAGATACTCTCTTAGGACATGTCCAGACAAGCCCACAGGTGCCTTTTGCCACATCTCAAAGCAGTTTGAGACATGGCAAGAGGCACTCAGGGAACAAAAAATGTTTTTGAGCACTGGCTCAAAATTTGAAACCTGGATATCCAGGTATCAAAATAAAAAATGGGGGGAAAAAAGTGGGGCAGGTCAGGGACCATGCCCCGAGGTAACTGGGAGGGGGTCCTCCAGAGAGACACTTTGGTTTCTGGCCAGTGTGTCTCTATGGTGCCTTTGTTGTCCCAGCATGCGTGGTATGAACCCTTAGCATGCTGGGGCAAGCAAAAGTGTGGCAAGTATCAGGAACTGGGCACTGTCATGGGTAAGTAGGGAAGTGAGGGTGGGGGGGTTTGTGGGTGTGGGTGTGTAAGGAGTGGCAAGAGGATGTAGGGGGTTGTGAGGAGTGTGGGCAGGAGTCCTGGGAGGTGTGGGGAGCTGTGGGGGGGATGTACAGTCTGTGGGTGGGTTTACGGAGGGTCTCAAGCAGGAGCTGCCACATGCCTGCCCCCCACCCACCTCCCGCAATGCCTGCAGCAGCAGCCATCAAGGCTGTAGCCCAGCTGTAGGCACGGCCAGTGGTGATGCAGCACTGTGTGACCTGGGCTCTGTACATGCTGAATGGGTCTGGCCCTGCTAGCACACGGCTTCTCTGCACGGCTATGCTAGCGCACGGCTTTGGACAGGACCAGGAAAGCCATGTACTAGCGGGCTGGACCGGGTCAGTTTCATAGATTGTAAGGCTGGAAGAGACATTGGAAGATCATCAGGTCCAGCAGGAAAGATAACTGGGGGTCAGGTGACCCCAGCAAGGTGACTGTCTAATCTCCTTTTGAAGATTTCCAGATTAGGTGATTGCACCATCTCTGGAGGGAGCTTATTGCACAGTCTGGACACCCTGACTGTGAAGAAATATTTCCTAATGTTGAGCCTGAATCGATCTTCCAGGAGTTTGTGGCCATTATTCCTGTTTTTCCCCTCTGGTGCCCTGGTGAACAGATGCTCACTGAGCCCTTGATGTACTCCCCTGGTATAGCAGTAAGTTGCTACTAGGTCCTCTCTCAGCCTTCTTTTCCTCTGATCATATGGATGGCTCTTCTTTGGACTCTCTCAAGCTTGTCCATGTCCTTGTTGATATGAGTGCCTCTTAAAAACTTAGGAACTGGAAGACAAAGGAATAGAACTCCATTTATTATTTTTAATTTCATAATTTTAATCCAGTCACATTATTTTTGAAGCCTGCATTGTGATTTATGATCACTTTAGATTGGGAGTGAGTTTTTTATATAATTTATAACATTTTGAGCAATATGCTTATTCACAGTAAAGCATAGTTGGTATGTGTGTATAATATAGAAAAAATATATGTTTTTGAAACCTACTGATTTCTTACTGACCAGCGTTCCATTGATATTATTTAGTATTTCTGTTATAATGTCATCTAGAGGCCCTCTTCATCATCTAGTTCTCAGGGATGGTCTCTGTGCATACACAGAGCAGAAGGCAGTCTGGTCCCAAAAATCTCACTTAAAAATAAATGACAAGCAAAAATGGCAATGAAAATAGATTACCAACAAATTCTGAACTTTTTTTGAAGGCACAGTATTAAACATCACATTTGATCCCTACTGTCGTTCCTCATTCCCCCCGTACAAGTGCCACAGCGAGCCTGTACTGTTAGTTCTTCTAGTGAGTTTCTTTTTCCTTCTGTCCTAAATGGACTCCAGAGGAATTGCCTTAGTCTTTGGGATGGAAACAAAACAAACACAGACATTTCAAAGTCCCTAAATGCCTCCTTATTGCTTCTTCCTTCTACATGGAAGCAGGCAAGACTCCTGGATGCTTTCTCAGGAGAGGCCAATTCTGAACCTTTTTTCAGCATTGTTTG